CAATATGGCAAAGGAATAAGAAGATGAAGGAAGGAAGTCGAAAATGAACACCAAGTTCCTGGCTTGGGCATGGGGCCAGCAGGGCTGCTGGTTACTGAAGTAGGGCACCGAGGGAAGGAGGTAACAATGCGTTCAGTTTGGAACGTCTTTTCTTTAAAGCGCCTGCCAAGTAGCTAAGAGAAAGTGTACAACAGGTAGCTGGAGCTCAGACTGGAGATAAAAATTTGGGAGTCATCAGTATCCAGGCATTTGTTTAACCAGGAGCTGGCAAACTACAGTCAAGGGACCAAAGCCTGTTTTCTTGTGCCCTCGGGCACTGAGTTACAGAGGCTAAGCCACAGTGTCCCCTCAACCCTGTTCCCCTTTCTGCTTACAGTGCTGGCCCTCTGGCTGGTGGCCACCATCCCCCCCATCCTTATTCCCTGTGCCCCGCACACTCCTGCCAGCCCACTAGGCCCCAACCCCTGGAACCAGAGAATGTCTGCAGCTAACAGTAGCTGTGTGCAAAGTGCGCCCAGCACCTGGACAAAAAAGACTGCAGTGGGATATGAGTTTTTCTCCTCTGTCATATAAGTTCCTACATAATATCTTCAATTTTGCTCTTGGCCCATGAATGCTAAATCATTTATTATCTGGCTCTTTAAAAAAAAGATTGTCTACTCCAGGTTTAAACTAAATGCAATAATGAAAAAACACACACCAAAAACTTAGTTTTTATATATTATGCCAGTAGAATTCAATTCAAATTAACAAACATTCTTAACTTATTCAGGGTTTTTAAGCTGGATATGCTGAAAACTGAAAACATGCATTACATTCCACAGAAGCTCCTTACTCCACCCTCCTCTTCCTTTTAATCTGGGGAAACAAAAATAGAAGTTAATTCATCAGGATAAATAGATCCCATCTTGAAGATACTCTAACATAATTTGTTCTGGATTTTTCATACTTTTGGGTGTCCTTCCTCTCAGAGATTCATCAGTGTGGATTGTTTCCATTCAAGCAAGCTTTTAAATCCCACGAGTGTATTAATTCATTTACAAAAGAAAGAAATTGAGGCACTGTGTCTATAAAAAGTTAAAAACCAACTGGTTATATGTCTGGTTCTTTGGCCTCTACTGTTCAAAACACCCAGTATAGTCACTCTGGTCACCTGAGAAGACTGGTGGACATATACAGGTGGGAACAAAGTCAAAGGTAGCCGTTCTACCAGCTCACACACTTGATTTTTTAAAAAAAATTTTCAGATATCATAATAGCTAAGTTGTGAGGATTGAGACGTGGAAGAGTCTGAGAAGCATGTGGGAGGTAATTAAGTGCTATTAGAAGCAAACGGAACCTAACTTGACCGAATAGCCAAGTGCGGTGTGGTCTTTTGAAAACATTTCCAAATACAGGAACCAAATTTGATCCTTTAAGTCTCCTTCTCTTTAGGATGCATGTTTACTCAAAGAACAGATGGGGAGGAAAATCAGAAAAAGACTTTGGTCGACCCACATAAAACAGCATATTTGAACGTGGGCATGAAGGGAGATGAGTTTTTGGAAGGATTTTCATTTGTTTGATGTGTGGAGATAGTCTTGGGAAGTGGGAAAGCACTGACTTTATTTAATCTCTCCTAGGGAGGAGCTTCAGAAGGCTCTTAAAAAAGGAAAGCTCCCTTAGTAAGCACATACTTCTGTGCTCTCACCTCTTTGGTATTTTCCAGTATAATGAAAGGGGGGGCGGTTTCCAGGACTAGAGTTTTTGGGTACGATGAATAGGAAAAAAATTTAGGCATGGCTATAAACTGCCATCCACAAATTGAGCTTTTTTAGGGTTTAAATAGTTTCAATAAATTTCCTTTGGATGAGATGAGGTCATGCTTATGTGTGTTTTATATACTCCTAGCTGGTAAAGACCACTGCACTGCACTGAAAACAAGCACAGCGCTAGTAGCATGTATGACCTACCTACCCAATCCTACGTGTCTTCTGGTCTCACCAAAAAATAAAGAAAAAAAATTTAAAAACTGTATTTCTCTTGAGATGCCCAAGTTGTCATTGCATGTCAGAAAAACTTGGGTGTAAACAGATACTTAAATCTAATTGTAATCTTTGATGGCTACTTAAAGCAAATTGAGCTTTTGAACCCGATGAGGTGTGTTCCTTTGAAATAGTAGCATCAATCTGGAGCCCAACACAAATAAGAAACCACAGGGGGGAAGATTCTGGATGAGAAATCATAATGGAAAGGAATTACCCTGCTGGTTGGTAACATTTCCATATGGGCACAAGCAGCAAAACAACAAAAGATCAAAGAGCGACCCAAAAAAAAGGGGAGTGTTCAGTCTCATAATTGTGCATGTGTGTGAACACATAGCCTTCTGTAAGGATAATAGCAGAAACATGTTTTTGCAAGGGAGGTTCCGTGTACGCCAGCTAATAGGGCTGCTTGGCTGAACCTCAGTACGCAGCAATCCACTCTTCATTCGTAAAAGATGCTACTGATTAATGGTATCTCAAATTTGTAATAATAGTTAACAGATGCACAAGAGGGAAATGTCCTCAAAGAATAGAAATCCTGTGTGCTTCCAAACCTCATTGTAATTACTCTATTTGTGGTCTAGTGCTATCAACCCACTTTGTGGCCAAAGCCCAAAGGACGGGAACTTTGTCCACCTTTACATTGAGTCAGAGGCTGAAGTGGGAATGAACTACTCATAATTCCAACCTTTATGTGTCAGCACTAAATATGAAATCTGTGGGGGTTTTTAATGGGTCCCTTTCACAAGGCACAATTTCATTGCTCATTCATGAAATCACTTATTTTCTTATTTAAAGAGGTTAGTGAGCCCCCTTTCAAAAACACAGTCTCATTCTACAGTTACTACACCCCAATTGAAAAGTTTTAAAGAAATTTAAGATTTGGTAATAATGATGTGTTGTTAGTTACTATAAATACATAGGGAAAAGGTAACAATGAGTTGAAGGAATGATATCAGAAAATGCAGAAAAGCATGGTATATTTCAAAATACATCATTTTTTCAGGTCATTCAATGACTTCTTTGGGAAAATAAATAGAACAAGCTTGGAAGGAGTCCTTTCTTGCTGGTGTTCAGAAAACAAAATGACCAAGACACAACCTTCAACATCTAATTATGTTATTAGATTTAATGTTTGCAATTACCTGGGGTTTTATATTCTCAAAGTGCTTTGTAACCTTTAATTAGTCCATCTTCTCAAGTCCGGCTCAGTTTTCAGATGAGAACACTGAGGCACGTAGGCTGTGATTTTCCCTCCCAGGGCCAGGTAAGTTAGTTTAGTTTAGAAAACCCAAGTTAAACCTGCAAGCAGAACCAATGTGTGAGACCTGGGCTCAGGACTGGCCTTTCATTCTACAGCTGGATTTTTTATTTAATGTGAAAGTATGCAACATTTTATCACCAGATGTCGGGTGTTGTTTTTTTTCTGTTAAGCAACTTTTCATTATATTTTCCCTTTTGCTATAACTGCAAACCAAACTCTTGCTATGTTCTTTACCTCCGAGATCTGCTCACTTGTCCTCATTTGGAGACACAGTATGTACTTTAAAAATAATGTTTTCTTAGTGTTTGTAAAATTAATTTAGTTAAGAGAGAGAGAGAGAGAGAGAGAGAGAGAGAGTGTGTGTGTGTGTGTGTGTGTGTGTGTGTGTGTGTGTGTGTGTGTGTGTGTGTGTGTGTGTTAGGGCAAGTGTAGTTAAAAACAGTATCAAATTGAAGAACAGTTTAAGCAAAATTTTAAAGCTTAAAAATGTCATTTAAACCCCCAATTTAATAGGAAGTTTTAAGAAAGAGAGAGACATGGGAAGAGAAAGAGAGAGAGAGAGAGAGAGAGAGAGAAATTGTGGGCTTTTCTAAGTGCCTTTTTCTCACTCGCCTTCCAGCTGCTGTGCAGGGGGATCAAGGTGGGTGAGCAGCTTACTCCAGGCCCTGGGGCTCTGTATCCCAGCTGCCGATATCCTCACAGGGTCAGTGAGCAGGCAGATAGCTCATTCCATTTGTAACCATGAGAAATCGAGTTCCCTAGGGAAAATATGCACTCTCCATATGTTCAGCCTTGTGCAATAGTCTAGGTGAATCACAGTTGGAGAGACGGAGGGAAAGGGATGTGTCCTGACACTTGATTTCCTCGGAGATACAGACCGTCATTTCCAGGGCTAGTACAATGCCTTAAACGGACCACTAATCTAATCCAGCCAGGGTGATGGGATGCTTTTAGGAGCTTTTCTTTAAGTGCATCTGAATTCTATTCTAAGGCTTCCACAAAACTATCAAAATGAAATGCTTTGATGTGTATCCCCTCCAAGCAAGCGCTGCACCCAGTTCAGAGCCTCCCATGCAGCCGGTCCTCCTGCTCTCCTCCCTGCCCTGTCGTCTCCCCTCCCGCCACCATGCAGCGTGGCCGTGCTGTATGCCTTCCTGCTCATATGAACCGCAGTTGCTGAAAAAGTGAAGCCAAAAGAAACAGCCAATAAAAACAGAAACAGCTGTAACAATTTTGCACAGCATGGTCTTGATTTCCTTGAATTTTGTATTTTTGCCCCTCTCTCTCAGTCTCTCTCTCTCTTTCTATTTCTCTCTCTACTTCTCTCTCTCTTTATCTCTCTCTCTCTCCAGCTCCCTTTTCCATATGCAACGACTTCAGTTTTGGGGCCTGGAACAGAGCAAGAAATACTTTTTCCTTCTTGAAGCCCTTGTGTGATTGGGAAATACAGTTGGGGTCCATTTTAAATAGCTCCAAAATAAGCAGAGCTGAGGGGAGGCTGAAACATGGGGAATGAGTTGAGAATCTTGCCACCAAAGACAGGTGCAAAGATTTTTCTCTTTTTTTTAAAAAAAAAAAAACACAAAAATAATAGACCCAGCTCTCAAATTTGCTCTTTCCCAGGCCGCTGCCGTCAGTGGTGTGCCTGTTGTCAGTGAAGTCCACAGAAGCCGCCCTGCGTATTTCAGCTCTGTGTTTGCATTTGCCTCTCCAAATGGGACCTGTCCTGAAGACTTTACTGGACTGTTATTTACAGTAGCCTCACTCTCCGTCCATCTGCTCAAAACCCAGCCATGTAAAGGTAGGTAAAAGCAAAAAGCTACGGTAGGAATGGCATTAGTGGTTTCAGAAAAGAAAAAGAGAAAGAACAATTAAAGCACTAAGCAAATAGAAAAGGCAAGACCAACAGAAGATTGTGATCAGCGCCTCTTTCCTGTCTGTGCGGGCTCGGGAACCCCGGGGATGTTTACCTTCTTCAGAATGCATTCAGAGTCACATACGCCCCTTTTGGTCCCATCGTCAGCAGGTGCTGTGTCCTAAATCCATGCTCTAGCTAAAATGCTTTCAGCAATGCCATTGATCCCTAATGGTTATAAAAGTCTTCTTTTTCACTTTGTGTTGTGTTTTGTTTTGATGTTTTGGGTGGTATATGCTGTTTTGTTTCCCTGCAGCTGCTTCCTGTCTTTACCCATGTTCTGGGACTAGCCCCAGTGTGAAGCTGAGCTGCATCTGGGCTGAGCATAATGGAGAACTGGTGGAAATAAAAGTTCTTTCATGGTGGCACAGCCCTGTTTTTCAGATGGTGTGAAGCAGATCTGTAGTTTATTATTAATAATAGCACATGCGTGACACCGCATCTTCAAAGGGCTGTGCAAACATTAATTCTTTTGTGATGTGAAAAAAATAGGCGGCAGCAGCATCTTTTTCAAGTGAATCTCCCAGCCTTTTGGAGAGGGGCGAAGAAGCATCGTTCCAGCTAGAGATGAATGAATCAGACCCCGGAGGTCTGGGATCTGGGTCCAATTGAGGAGCACTTTGAAAAAAAAAATCAGGAGCTTTATCTGAACTATAACATGTTCCAAATTCGACACTCTTTCAAACTCACATGGAAGTCTTTCGAAGACAAGCTGTGGCATCTTTGTTCCAGGAATAAAACAAACAGAGTAAAAGAGAGGAAAGGAGTGCAGCAGAGTCCACTTGTGGTTCTTCGCTGTTGAAATGTGATCTGCGGTCTCCAGAAGAAAGGCGGAATTATTCTCACCAGCTTGGCAAAGCTTGCCCTTCAACTTTTTTTAATAAGTGATTTCTTTGTCAAAGTCACAGTCTTCTATAAAAAAGTGGCATTTAATATCCCTTTTTGCAGAAACCCAAAAAGAGAATCCAGATGCCCCATTTTCATTGGACTTTGCAAATTGACCCTTTAGTTTTTCTTATATTTAAAAGTCTTTTTCCCAATACTTAAATATATATATGTGTATATATATATAT